ACACTGAAGACAGAAATAATCATTATTATATAGTTCAAATATATGTGCTGTTAAATTGAAAAAAATGTTTCCTGCTGGTTAGAGTCTATCTGCATAATAGTTGCCTAAAATATATGGATTCATTTAGTTGTGAACAATGTAACATCTGTGAAACATGATTCTTAAAAAAAATGCAGTATTCAGTGGGTATAGTCAGGCCTGTACTAGTCAGGCCTGTACAGGATATTACTCTACCGTCCTCCACCCACTTTAAATAATATAATTAAAAAATTGTGAAAGTCAAAAATTCATACTGAGACTGTTGAAGTAAATAAACAGTGACACTGAATGTCTGTGCTGAGAATTAATCATGAGTGGAGCATAAAAGATGATACAAAAATTGTTCATGTATTTTTATGCTAATACCTCAAAACCGGCATGGTTTTAACGTACCAGGTTGATTTAGGCATTCAGCCAGCTTAACCTATGTCTCCATCTTACTAAAAGCTGAATTTTCATGTTTCTAATATAGTGTGTCGTCTATGTACTGCCTGTGTGAAAATTGGAACATACACAGTTAAACTACCTGTGAGTCTATGGAGGGCCTGGTTTGCCTTATGACATTATTAATTCAGTGGATTCTGTGCTAGACCCAGCATTATTGTTACCTGATAGTCTGAATACTGTCTGAATGGCAGCCAGCTAAAAAAATGCTTCAGCTGACCTTGATCCAGAATAGGAAAGCTTCCATAGGACTGCTTTGTAGAGCAAAGTAGGAGAGGTTCTCTATGCAGCCACCTTGGCACCATCTGTCTTCTATGTCAGTGGCCCTTTAGGACTGGTGGTAATAAAGCAGTCTGGACTCTTCATCAGGCTTGCAAGGCTCTGTCTACAAGCAGAATCAAAGCTCTCAGTCTTCTGTTCATACCACGTCATATTGGTGAAGGCTTGGTGACTGGTAAATCATATCTGTTCCAAAAAGTGAGAGAGAATAGTTTGTATTATAGTTTCTGTATTCCTTTAAACTGTGTACATAGAATCATAGAATTGTGTAGGTTGGAAAAGACCTTGAAGATCATCAAGTCCAGCCATTAACCTAACACTGCCATTCTACCACTAAACCATGTCCCTAAGCACCTCATCTACCCATCTTCTAAATATCTCCAGGAAAGGTTATTCAACCACTTCCCTGGGCAGCCTGTTCCAATGCTTGACAACCTTTTCTGTGAAGAAATTTTTCCTAATGTCCAATCTAAACCTCCCCTGGTGCAACTTGAGGCCATTTCCTCTTGTTGTATCGCTTGTTACTTGGGAGAAGAGACCAACACCCACCTCGCCACAGCCTCCTGTCAGGCAGTTGTAGAGGGCGATCAGGTCTCCCCTCAGCCTCCTCTTCTCCAGGCTAAACAACCCCAGTTCCCTCAGCTGCTCCTCACAGGACTTGTGCTCCAGACCCCTCACCAGCTTTGTTGCACTTCTCTGGACACGCTCCAGTGCCTCAATGTCCTTCTGGTAGTGAGGGGCCCAAAACTGAACACAGTATTTGAGGTGCGGCCTCACCAGTGCCGAGTACAGGGGGACGATCGCTTCCCTAGCCCTGCTGGCCACACTATTCCTGATACAAGCCAGGATGCCATTGGCCGCCTTGGCCACCTGGGCACATATTATCTCTGTGTTGTTTTTCAAAACTGTTTTTTGGGGAGGGTTTTGTTGTGGTGTTTTTTTTTTTTTTTTTTCCCCACATTTCTTCAGTTTCTTCTTTCTCTCCTTGTAACTTTTAACCCAAGTGAAATTTGAGGCAGCAATTTTATGGTGTTGATCTGACAGGACAAAATAATTTCAATGCACTTTTGAGCTGGTTTACAACATTTGGAAGGAAGGTTAACGTTCGGAAGTTTTTCTGCAAAACACTGTCTGAATGAGCCTATAGAAGAACGTGTTAATAGATGCATGGGTAGTAATGAGGCTGTAGGTAACCAGTGCTCGCAGGCTGGTAACCTTCCTACCTGTTTTGAAGAATATCCCTATTCAGTAGTTCTTTGGCCTTTGCTCCGAATGAAGTAAGGTGATACTCCTTGGTTTCCAAATCAGTTTTCATGTTTTGTTATGTCTTTTCTGGCAATTATAGTTTAAATGAAATTTCTGAATGAAAATGGTGATGAAAGGTTTTCATTAGGCACAGGAAGTGAACTCTGTGTGCATCATTGCCTTAGGAAGAATGGTTGCTTACCTTGTGTTAATAATTTAAGAATATATATATTCTGTTTGAATAACCTCCCCTCACTTGTCTTTTTTATTGGAGGTTTGGTATTTTTAAAGGAGCTGAGGGTTAGGTTTAGGTTTGGGGTAACACCAGCAGCAGATCAAATAGAACTGGACATGGACAAGACCTTGAAACAATGCCCTAAATGGGCATCTTCTGTATGTGCAGCAATGTAATGATAATTTGTTACTTTATCCATGCCATTTCCAGTGATGGACATGATTTTCACTGAACAACCAACTAATTATAAGTAGATACTTGCTTTTAGTGTCCTTAAGATGTCTTTGTACTGCTACACTTGAAATGGTCCTTTATTTCCTGGTGCTTTCACTGTAACTTCTGCAAAGTTGTGACTGTCTTCCAGGAAATTAGAACTATTAAGTAGGCCTTAAGAATTACCTGTAAAGGGGAAAAAAAACCAACCCTGCATTGTATTGTTCTGTTCCTGGAATGAGATTACTCTAAGATTCTCCTTTAAATGGTGATAAGTTGTCTCTAATTTTTGTCATTTTTTGTTGCCCTCTAGGATTTGTGTCCTACTAGAATAGCAGGGTTTCAGTATGAAACACATGTGTAAACTTATTTAGTAAGAAGATACTAATAGCCTAAGCAATTAAAAAGGAATTAAACATTACAGTGTGCTGTAGAGCTGCTGCTAATAATAGAGACCCTTCTTGCAATGGGTAGCTTGAGAAGAAAGGTTTGATTTTTCAGTATGTTGACAGAAGGATAATTGCAGCTTTGGGACTGCAAGAGGGTTTTCTGATAGTGCCAGGAGGAAATAGGATAAGGCTTGAATATGGCAACTCTCATTTTAGGCACTAGCAATGAGCAAGAGGAGCTAAAGAAGAAGGTGGCTTCATAGAGTACCTGGTTAAAACAGCTAGTGGGCTGCATGAAATCCACAGGGACTTGGGACAGACCCAAGAGCATCTTGGGATGACTTCTGTCCCTGTAATTTCAGGTTAGGTTATGTGTGTTTGACTCTGAAAGTTCATAAATTGTCAATTTTACAGACTGCAAGCCATGAACCACTACCCAGTACTCTCAGTGAGAACTCAAATACCACCAAATATTACGTGCTGCTGGAAGAGAGCAGAAGGGCATAACAAATGACCTTGCAATAGGAACAACTTCCTAGGTGAAATTGTTTAGGTAATACAGCAAATTGCCTCATGCTGCTGACGACTGTCACATCTGTTCTTACACCATCTCTCCCAGACCTTTCATCTCTAGCTAAGCCTTGCTGAGGGAAAGCTCTTCCTGGTGTGTCATCTGGCCATCATTTTAATGCTGAACATTTAAATTAAGCTACTGTGAGACTCTCTGCATTCTGCTCCACATCCTCTCCCTAATCTTGGCCAATATTTAGTGCTTCAAAGGAAGCCCAGGTGGGGTTAGGGGATCTTCAGAAGCAAACTTTAAATGATGAAGGAGAACTTTTTTTTTATCTGGTCAGGTAACTGAAACACAGCATAATAATATAAATGTAATGGAGCAAACTGAATAGATAGTAAGGTAATCAAGATTTCTCTTGACTGTCCTGGGATATAAATGAACCAGACACCAAAGGACTGTTGACCAAAGCTTCAATTTCTAATCTGCAGTTCCTTCTATTTTGTCTTCCAGTTACAATTCTTGATGCAGTTGAGTATACTGAGAGTATTTCACGTAGGTTTGGCATCCAACTTGAATGAACATATAAAAGATACAATGTGGTTATTCCATAGTGTTCTTAATCTATGTTAAGTTTAAAAAACTTGGACTGTGAATGAGATGGTAATATAAAGGACAAGAGACTTTGACTTTGAAAATTACATAAGAGGGGAATTAATTTCGGATAATCTTGTCTTTGTAAATATGTCAAGTACTCCACATGTCTGTGTGAGATTAGGTTTTATTAAACAGTTCAATATTTTTTTAGAAATGGTAAAAGATTTTCAGCAGCGTGTGAGGTCTGCCCAGGCAAATGCCCAAAATAGATGCAAAACAAGCATATAGATTAAAAACATACATTGTGGCAAATTTGTACAAACAGATGAATTTTTGGCTCCATAAGAACTAAAAGAAGGAATGGACAGACTCCTCTGTTGCTGTGTTTTCTTGTATGTATTAAAACAAATTACTTTAAGTATTTTTTTTAAAGCTTATAATACTTAGATGATTTCCTTTAAAAAAAATCTAATGGAAACTTTGTGCATTTGAAATTTCATGCCTAAACTGTCTAGGCCAAAATCATAAACCAGAAGTCGAAATTACCAGAAATGCAGATCACTGTTTCATATATACTCCTGTCTGTGTCTGACGCTCCACTGATACAACGCGGCTGTGTGGGCCCAAAGTACAGACAGGCAAAAAAAACCCCAAACACCAAAAAAACCTAGAGAGATCAAAATGTGACTTCTCTTTTGTGTCCTTTCCTGAAATCCTGCCCCCTGACAACTGAAAGTGGGAAATATGTGAAGTAGCATATCTTCTTGTACTTAGTTGCTTTTTGTGCGCTCATATTCATTACCTTCCAGAGGTTTTGTGCTGCAGATTTTGAGTTAAGGTTATCAGAGATGTTGCTCATGTTTGACTGGCTAAATTCAAGATGTGGGTGGGGATTAAGAATTTTTTGTTTGCTTGTTTGCCCGAGTGATGATTTTGTGGGAGAGGGAAGATAATACAAGAGGATAGGTTAAAACAAATTTTAAATGACTGTCACATTTAGCAAGAATGTTTGAACATGTTCACTAAAATTGGGCTTTTTCTCCAGCTTCTGGAAAAACATAAGAACACAGAAAGCATGGTAGAGCTGCTTGAACTGTATCAAATGGAAGATGAAGCCTACAGTAGTCTTGCAGAGGCTACCACGGAGCTCTACCAGTACTTACTACAGCCATTCCGAGATATGAGGGAACTGGCAATGCTTAGAAGACAGCAGATAAAGGTATGGTAAAGGTAACAGAGCTTCTTATTAATGGGGGAAATCGTGCTTTTTAGTTACTATTTACTATTTATTACTTTTATTGTATAGTATATGCAGTGATGGTTTCTCCAGTAGAGGTTAACCCTATTTTCCTGGTTTCTCCACTCAGTGCTTTTGAAGACTGAGACTGTCGGTGACATATGTAGTTAACCATTGCCTGTTTAACTTACTGTGTTTTACTGTTCAAATTCATTGCTGAATTTAATAGGTGAAACTTAAAATTTTGTGATTACTGGGAATACTGACTAATATATAAAATAGAAGAGACATATGTACAGTATCTATGCTATTGTTAATTCTTTTAAAAGACTATACAGGAAGTTACTTTTCATTTTAGTTTTCTGAGACAATCTAATAAACTTTAAGAACTCAGTAGCTTCTCATCTAATGTTCTGAAACACTTAAACATGGAAGCATATTAGAAGTATGTAATTTGTTGTAACACTTTACCAGTATATTTTCCTAAGAGTTAAAAAAGTATAGCTAGCTGAAGAATACTACATTTTGGGAGAACTGCCTTATAATGCATATTGATTCTAGTTTTAAATACTTAACCAGAAGTAACAGATGTCATCTTTATTGCATCTTGGAAGGGCTTTTGATAAAATCATTAGTTCCTGTGCAGATTATTAAGACTAGCCTTCTCATTCTTCTAATATGTGTGTTATAACATAAAAGCTAAAATTGGTTTGTTTCATTTAATCTGTATTGCAAGTGTCGATTTATCTCAGCTTGGCACCTTGTTCAGTTAGCCAACATTGTTTTTATTGGTTTCAATTCAAAAATACAGTGGTTTTCTCTGATTTTGATTCTCTTCTTCTCTTTTGATTATAGAATGAGGGAGGCAGGCAAGAGGATTTACAATTCCAAAACTAGTTTTATTTTGAGCTATTGCTGTGTTCATAAAGTAATTTTTCAGAAAGTTCAGCAATGTGAACTAACTCAGTGAGATAATGTGATGATATTTGAACTAAAAGTGCTTTTTTGCTCCTGAATGATAAATGTTGCTGCATAGAGAATTGGGATGAATATTTTTTTTCAGATGTATTATACAGTTAGATTATGAACACTACATTTAATAAAAAGTTTTCTTCAAAGCATGATGAAATAGTTCCCATTTTATTTGAATTTGTAGCAGAGGAAAATATTAATTTTTTTGTTCTTTTGCCAAACAAGAAAAAATAAATATCATATTGAGTAGGCAATATGAATTAAGAGTTGTGTTTTGGTTTGGGGTTTTGTTTTTGTGATTTTTTTTTTTTAACCTCAGTGATCTCTTGAATTCCAGTTTTAAAATACCTCATTTTTGATTTTTCCTGAAAGAATAACCTTGGTAAATATGCTCATTTCAGCTGGGATAGAGTTAATTTTCTTCACAGTAACTAGTAGGGGTCTATGTTTTGGATTTGTGCTGCAAACAGTGTTGGGAACACAGGGATGTGTTAGTTACTGCTGAGCTGGGCTTACACAGAGTCAGGGCCTCTGCTCCTCACTCCACCCCACCAGCGAGGAGGCTGGGGGGGCACAAGAAGTTGGGAAGGGGGCACAGCCAGGAAAGCTGACCCCATCTGACCAAAGGGATATTCCATACCACAGGATGTCATGCTCAGCATAGAAAGCTGGGGGGAAGAAGAAAGAAGGGGGACATGTTCAGAGTGATGGCGTTTGTCTTCCCAAGTAACTGTTACGCATGATGGAGCCCTGCTTTCCTGGAGGTGGCTGAGCCACCTGCCTGCTCAGAAATAGTGAATGAATCCCTTGTTTTGCTTTGTTTGTGCGTGTGACTTTTGCTTTACCTATTAAACTGTCTTTATCTCAACCCACGAGTTTTCTCAGTTTTACTCTTCTGATTCTCTCCCCCATCCCACCAGGGTGGGGGGAGGGAGCGAGCAGCTAGGTGGGGATTAGTTGCCAGCTGGGATTAAACCATGACAGTAAACTTCAGAGGCGTGTTCTGTGGTTGATTATTTCATACACAGTTGCATCTAATGTACATTAAGCTCTCTTCCTAACTTGGCAATTTTTGAGTTATAAAACTTGGTCATCTGTATTATGTGGTAGAGAAAGATGCCATCTCTTGTTTTTCATTTAATTGTTTGAGAGAAAACAGTACTTGTATCTATGATGACAAAATATGTATTACGCTGGGTAGCTAGGGTAGAAGAACTGTTTTATAAATAGAACTTGTGCATGAAATGGTTTGTGTTAACTTGCTGTGTATGTTTTTCTGGCAGGCTTAATAATGGAACAAAGATCCTTAGGTTTCTAAAAACCCTGGTGACTGGGGTTACCTCCATTTTCATGCATAACAGAAGTATTTCTGATGCTTACTACCTCAATGAAATGGGAGCTGTGAACATGTAATACTGTTAACATATAGAGAGTGGCAAGGAGAAAGATAAAGTTTGGATGTAGGGCAGGGTAAGGAAGAAGGAACTTGCAGAATGTGTTAGTAAAATGAAAAAATAAGTTAGATAATTAAGCTTGAATACAAATATCAGTATTTAGTCAAGATTGCAATTGCCTTCTGCAATTATTTAACATTTTTAGACCTTTATTAGGTATCTGTTTTGGATTTGTGGGAAGGTTATTTTACTTTGTTTTTCAAGAATTTGGGGGGTTTAATAAGTATTTTAATCAGTTTCATTTTGTCAGTTTTTAGAACAAGTTTAGGAGGAATTAATTGCTTTGCCTGTAATCTTTGAGAGAATGTATAGTGTATTGCTCCTTTTGGAGCAAGACATAAAAATTGGAATATATATCATAGGTGTTAAATTTCTGCTGTTGCTGTGAAACCTTTAGCAAGAGACAAGCCTACAGGAGGGAAGTGAAGAACAAACACAAAATTCTATCTGCTCAGTGGAGGATTATTAGAGTAGGACAGCTGTATTCTCTGCAGATTCCTTTTTTTGAGGGGGAAAAAAAAACCCAAACAAAACAACCCAGAACGAAAGTTCATAACAAAGTCAAACCATTTAGAAGCTTGCAAATGCAGGTTAGTGTTGTCCATGATAGACATGATAGAAGTATTTTTTTTTCGTTTTATATTTTAACTTGATTCTATGTTACTTTTTCAGGTTTATTTGCCTCATTGTAGTGTGAAGGTGCATTATTTAATATGGGTGTGGAATCAGGGATGTATTGTGAAGCACTTAAATATTGCTGAATTTGGGAAACTTAAAAAGGTAGAAGATTATGGAAGGAGAAAAGGGTGGCTTTTTATGAAGCGAAGTGCCAGCCTGGAAAATTGACTGACACCAAAATTTCTATTTAATGATGGACAGTCCATCTGACTCTAGAACAATACATTCAGTAGTGATATGTTTCTCATTTTTTGGGCTCCCAGCTTCAGAAACATAGTTTTGTTCATAGAAATGCCTAACATTTGTAAGTGCTGCTTAAATCCATGGAGACCTCCCTCTGAGCATGACAAAATGCTTACCAGATATCATGCATTCTTGAAAAAACTGGACACTGAAAGGACAGCAGTATTTGGGACTTAGATTTTTTTACTGTATGTGATAGGGGAATAATCCTGCTTGCCCCAAGGCCTTTATGGGGGACACACAAATAAAAGCCAATTTGTAATTAATGGCATTGCCAAATTGAGAAATGCTCATCAAAGAAGCAAGTCTGTACTCATTTCAAGATTAAAATGTAAGATATGCTTACTAGACATATTCTGTGTGTCTAGTATGACAATGTTTTGTAAGGTAAGTGTGAAAAGTTATATTGATAAGCCAGCCAAACAGTCAGAACTATGATTATGTTCTCTAAATGCTGGAGAAGGTATAATAAAGGAATTGAAGACAGTGTTATAATTTGTATACACATAAAAGCTGTGCTGAATTTGTGTAGGCATTATTAAGTTTCATTATTTCTGGATGCTGCTGGTTTAGATGTAATACTATGTAAAGACATTCAGCCAGTGAGTTTTAGCGTGTTAATTTCACTGTTTAGGTTTCTGGTCCATTTCTTGTGATTTCAGACTCTCAGATGTAACATAGGCATCAGGCAAGTAAAGCTTGATATTCAAATGCTGTATTATATTTTTGGGGCTATCTGTTTATTTTTCCAACCACAGGACAATTTATAGATGATTTTATCTATAATTAATTCTTAATTCCACATGGATTTTAGGATGCTCTTTTTGCTAGAAATGAGACTTCTAATGAACTAAAAAAAGCTGTAATATTTCTGATCCTAAGAATGTTTCACATTTATAGCCACGAATTTTTTATCAAAATAGATCATTTCCCTGTGAAAATGTATCAAATTTTTGTATGTTAAGAATATATACATTGCCATAGCAGAAAGTTGGGAAGTAGTAGACATCAGTAGCTGGAGACCTGGAAGTGAAATACTTCTTCCGAAATTTGGAAGAAGCAGAGTAGATACCTGTGCTCTGGTGCCTTAGATTTCAGATAGTTAAACCTTAATTTTGTCAGATCCTCTATATATAGTGCAGTCTTTTTCTGAGAGTATGGAGGGGAGGGACAGTTAGTGGTTGATATTTGGCTATAGAACTAACTGACTGGTTAATATGATCAAGCTTTAAGCTCTTTAAGAGTAAGATATAAAGTGTTCTTTGATACAGGATACCAAATCTTGTTATTCAAAAAAAAAAAATCTTTCAAGATTCTTCATGAGCAAAAATACAAAGCCTTTTATGTATGAAGAGTTGTGTTCAATGGCCTTCATAGGGAGAAAGAAGCTACTTTGCTACTTTGAATTTTTATGGTCTTAGGGCTGTGGACAGTACTTCACAACCATGTTGAGTAGGCACTGTGTTTGGTCAAACCCTAGGTGAAATCAGTGGGAAGCTTTCTTTTTTCATGCTTTTTTTTTTCTTTCTTTTTTTTAATGTGTTTGGTATTAGACTAAAGATGAGATGTAAGATAAATTGTTTCATAACCTACATGTAGATGCCAGCAAAACTTTGACAGAAGCATTCTTGAAGGTCTGAGTTGGACTGGATTTGCTTAACTGAGAACTGATAATATCTTGATACAAGTGAGAGCCTACAGTCATCATTACCTCTCAGTTCATCCCCAGGAAACGAGAACATTAAGATGTAATTATATGTTAAATATATTTAAACGCACTCTTAGTTTCATTGCGTACATATTCATTATTTTCAGTGACATGTTAATTCACTTGATTGTGCAGGGTCTTTAAGGACTTTAAATATACTAGTGTTGAAGTCTAGCACTGGAAATAAGATACTAGAGCAGCATATAGCTTGATAATTCATCAATTATTTTTTTTTAATTGTGGAAAGCTTTATTAGTCTATACTGTGCTTCCCCTTCAAACTCCTTTAAGCAGATACTGGTATAGCTGAAAATACAACTGGGGCTCAACCATATGTGAATTTATTTGTTGGTTTAACACTTGTTGGTGAATTGCAGCAGTGAACCTTATAACTAATTTGACTTTGCTATATGTAAAATTAAATCCTTTGAATTAAATTATGTTGCACTGAACATTTTAACTTTTGGTTAAAAAAGTATTTTCACAAAGTATGAAACAAGTTCAAAGGAGAAAATTTTAATGATGAGAACAGCTAGCAAAATAGAATTACTTTAAAAATACTTAGAGAGAGTACTTTAAAAAAAATCTCACAGTCAACTGACTGAAGATGTTTTGGGAAAAGGAGTGGATGTCAGTACTTGATAATCTTAATTTGTAGTGTTGCTCCCATACATCAGATGGATGAGTTCTGTATTACTAAATCCATGTTTTTGTCATTGGCTCTTGAATAACAGATGTCTTAGTGAGCTGATTTTTGAACTGTGCAGGTTTTTTTAAGCCTCACGTAATATTTTTGAGTGCATGGTGGTCTTGCAGTGAAAAATGTGAATACAAAGCTACACAAGGCACATGGGAGGACACTAAAGCAGCACTGATTAAAATGTACCATTACTCGCATGGCAATCAGCTCAATTTAATTTCTTTCAGTTTCTGAACCACGCCCTCCAGTAGTTACAGACTAGTGACTTGCTGCCAAGAAGTTGATGAAAAACATTGGGTAAAAAGTACTAAGGTAGTTCTCAGTGGAGAGGTTGAAACACTTCAAAGAGTTCTTAAGTCTCTTCCAGTATATCTGTAGTTGAAGATGTGTCCTCACATCATCAGAAATCATAGTTAACTAAACTTGGCTTTCAACCATGGACACTAAGTATATACGTGTTCCGGAAAGAGACAGACCCATCAGTCGCTATTAGCAATGATTCAGATTAGCCATCAGCTCAGGAAGCCTCTAAGCAGGTTCGTAGCAGAAATTGGGAGTTATCAATGTGTCCATACCTTGTGGCTTAATTTTTTTTTCTTCCAAGTGTAATAATTACAGTTGGAAGCAAGAGCTAGGACAGCCTTGGATCTCACCTAAGATTAAGGTATGGAGGGAAATGGTGCAGAAAGATGCAGAATCAGAGTGTCCATTCAAAAAGGCATCTTGATGAAACTCTGAAAGGACGTTAAACATGCAGAAAATACTAAATTGTGCGTCCCTGCAAGGCTTAGAGTAAAGGAGAGTGAAAACTGGAGAGGGATGATTTTTTTCTTTTGCAGTGATGGAGAAAGGGAAGGAGTAAGAAAGAAAAGGCCTCGATGTAATGTTATGCAGGCTGTGGAGGGCAAGGAAAGGGGCTTAAGGTCTTCAAAGACAGAAAAACTTGATCATGAGAGTGTACATTTTTCAAGTGCATGTTTACCTAAATCTGTAAATACATTGAAATCTAGTATCTTTTTAAGTAGTTGTCTGAAAAAAACTTTCTGTCAGCTTTCATGATATTGGCTGACTTTATACTGGATCTTGTAGGGCTTTATTTGCAGTTGTTACAGTTATTTTCAGTATTCCTATTCATGGGCTTTATATGTGTTTAATTTGGTTTCTTCTTGTCTAATACTTGTGTCCTCGTTATTTTCCTTTTTTCAGTATATCTGTATATAAAAGTTATCAACTACATTTTGATCAATTTTTGATGGAAATGCTTAACTTTTTGTCTATTGTATTTATTAAGCTTTCTTTAACTGAAGATTTCAAAATCTATCCAACCCTTTTCGTCCACAGAAGGAATCTAGAATATCTGGAACCACTGAAGCCTGCTTGCTTTAACTCTTGAGCTCACTTGCTTAAAAAAAGTTTTCAAATAACAGTAGACTATGCCTTCTTAAAAATACTTTGTAATATTTTTTATAATATAAAAGGTATATATTCTCCTATTATTATGTAATTATATAGTATATTGTATAGTTATGTATCATATAGTGTACTATATAGTTGTTACTATATAATAGTTTATTTTAAATAAAGCTTTCTTTTTGAAGGTGAATTTTTTAGTCAATGAAGCTGAAACAGAAACAAAGATTTTATAATATAGACATGGATAAATAAGGAAGGCATAACTCAGGATGCACAATTTAGCCTTAATCCTGTCAATTGGCAATATAAAATACTTTAACATAGTGGTTTTAATGCTCCTTTATATACACTGTTATGTGTCTGGAGAAAAAAAACAGTCATTCCTCTTACTCTTGTCATAACATTAATCTTCTATGATTTTTCTTTTCTGAATATTTCTTATTTTTTCAGCATTCTCCATAGTCTGGAAAAAACAGTCACCACTGCACTTTGCAGTACAATGACGTTATTGTTTAGTTTTCCTTTTGTATGTCCTAACACCTTATTTGCTTTTTAGTTTGTTACTTCCTTTACAGTCTTTATGGAATTGTGTATGTCATTCTCCTATACCTTCATGAAGATAATCAAAACCTCTGTAGTTGGTATTGCTAGTCTCAGACTCCAGATATTTTCAGAAATCTAGACCATCCAATCTAAGTTAGTTTGTATGTATTAACATTAAAGTCCATGTCAGGATCCATTAGGATAAAACCAGTGAAATTGTAAAGCCCTTTTTACAGCTGAGTGCTTCCACTTAATATATTTGGGGCTGTACATATGGAATTATAACACACTTTAGGAAATAGTGCTGGTTTTGTGCTACCAACTGGGAGCACAGTTAAATTAAAACATGTAAGACTAACTTTGGGAAGTTGTTGAATGGATGATGAAGCTGAAATGCAGGCAGTATAGCTAACATATCCAGCAGGCTGTGCTTGCAGTTGATTGTTTGGCCTCCCGGAATGTGTGGGAGGAAGGTAGCTGAGTGTTTGAGCTGAAACACTCCGTTATGTATGAAGCTGTTTCCTTTATGTATATTGCCTTTGCCATCTGTAGTGCTCCTTGAACTTTTTTTTTGTTCTTACAATTAATCAACCTGCTGTTGTTACATCTCATGTTTTTTTCCTTTTCTGCCTATTACAAGTCCGCCTAGGAGAAGGTTAACAAAGAGAGCTGGAGAGACATGACAGATCCCTGCCTAAGCTATAATGTGACCTGGCCTAAGTCTGTTTCTGTCAGTCTTGTCCATTCTTGTCCCAGCTGTATTCAGAAAGAATCTGGGAAGTATCAAAGATCACTGAGGACTATTTCTTTCTTTAGGAGATGTATGCTATGTAAAACATAATAAAATCCTGGAGTTGCAGGCCTGTTTCTTATATCTGCTCAGAATAAGCCTACTTTACTCTCTTCAAAACTCAATATAACAACAATCTATGAACTTTTCCACAGAAGAATGGTTCCAGTAGAAGAGTCTTGCCTCTCTGATTCATTCTCACTTGCTCACAGGGTAGGTTAGGGACCTCCTTTCAGTTTGTTTCCTCTGAAGAACTAATTTGTTTTCTTTCAAAAACATAGCCATACGGTGTAGAAATGTGTTATGTTCTGTTACTCTGAAGCAATAGCTGATGGAAATAGATGTTTACATGATGTGTTGACGTTAATGGCTTCTGCTGTTTCTTCCTCTTCTTGTGAGCTTTCTGACAACCACTTTTGTGAAAGCTGTCATAATTTTCTTGGTTTCAAAGCATTATCTGAAGCAAAGCTTGCAAAACATGAAAGTCTTCAAAAGCGAGTTTCATCGTCAAGGGAAAAAAAATTATCTTAGCCAGTTTTACCATGAGGCTTGGATTCTTGTCCAAGAATATAGGTGGTTTTTTAGAAAGAATAGCTGGAGCATTTTTTTTTGAGAAAGTGATTACTAGCAAAGAAAATGTAGATTTGAGTATGTGATCTAGTTGTGAGATGAGAGGTTTTTTTCTGTTAGGTCACACTTTCTCCAGAACTTTGAGTCCACATAAGGAACTTCTAGATCAAAAAGTGAGTTGGAGAAAATGTTAGAATAGAAGCAATGGTGATTTGCTGATAGCTTTCTCTCCTTTTTGTTTTTCATTCTTTTTTAGCCACCATGAAACTGGTTGTTGTTGGCACAATAGCAACAAAATAATTGTGTTGTTAATTATGGGCTGATTTATTTTCAGATCTCGATAGAGAATGACTACCTAGGCCCCAGAAGAATTGAGAGTCTGCAAAAAGAAGATGCCGATTGGCAGAGAAAAGCCCACATGGCTGTGCTTTCTATTCAAGATCTTACAGTTAAATACTTTGAAATAACAGCTAAAACACAGAAAGGTAGTTATTTTATACTATCCTATCCATCAAATAGAAGATCTTTAAAAATTTACTTAATGTTTACCATGTTCTATATTGTACTGTGATTTATTTTTTTCATCAATCCTCCATGAGGAAAATGCAGTTGTCATTCCCATTTGTTTTTTCTTCTGCGTCTATTCAAATTTTTCACTGATAACCCTTTTCAGAACATCATCGGAAGTGAGCATAATAGAAATTTTAGATAAGCTTCACAACCACTTTCTCAATGTGATTGTATTAGCTGCACTGTACATTTGCAAAGGATTTAGGGAACACAGAGTCCCTGATGGATTCTGTCTTCTGTACTGGATATGGCAGACCACCGTAGTAAGTGTTTATTACCTTTCAATTAATTTCCTTTTCCTGTCTTCCCCTGCCTTTCAGTAATATTTTTTCATAGCTCTAAATATTAAGCAATAGCTCAGTTTAACTATTTGGTGAAAGCTGGTCTGTTGTTCAGAAATCTTCATGGATATAACCTTGGCGTTTCTATGCTTGAAGAATGCAGCAGTTTTAGTAAAGAGGTGGTGCAGAATACCAGGTCATATGACTTGTTGTGTACATCTGCACTCTCATCCTTGTACCATTTTAACTTAAATAATCAGTTTCTTAGGGCAAACACACCTGACAATGTGGTTTCATGTCACCTCTTTTAGTTTGACTGTGGGCTACCACTGACAGAGTTTATGTCCCACTGTCTTCCCTGCGTGACTGCGGGTTCCTGTTTCTTTCTTTGCCTTGGTGATAGTGATTGTGCAACAAGATAAATGAACTGTGCCCCTGGGACAAAATCTTTTTTGATGGGATGGTTTCCTGTCTTCTCCCTACAAGACTCCTAGATCTGCCTCAAGAGAAGCAGTCACTGCAAAATGATTATTTTTGGTGACAACCCAGGTTAACTGTAACATGGAACTCCACCTTATTTTGAAAAAGTGACTAAACCAGTTCTAGCATTTTGGAATTAATTTAATTAGAGCAAATTCTAAATGTATTTAATCAGCTTGGTTCCTAGTATGACAAAGACAGGAAATAAAATACCCCATTAGTTGATAAAGAATGTATATTTACAGTTAACTTACTTTTTGTTTTGTTTATATGCTTTTTTTGTGTCGGGATTGTGGGGAAAACACTGGGAAATGAAATGGCTGCAGACCATTTATAGCCATAGCCCTTTGGTGTACTGGTTGCTTGCCTGTTTTGTTATGTTTTGGGGTTTTTTGGCCTCCTGCCTATCACAGGGTGGTCTTAACATACCAAAATAGTAACAGATGGCAGAGGAAAAACACATGAGAACATAAAGGTATTTTTTTATTCCCTAACAACAGCATGTAATATCTTCTAGCAGCTGGGGACTGGATACTATCCCTTTGATTGTGTGACTTTTGTGCCTTTTGCTTTGCAAAGCTAAGCGCACAGTATCATGTGATTGTTCTGTATATTAAAAATGATGAAAATCTCATGTGTGTCAGCCTAGATGTTGTCTGGGGCTCAGAAATAGAAAATCTGAGTCAGGAAAGGGACTCCTGGTACTCTGAAGTCTTCCTGAAAAGATTCTCATTCAGCCCTGCATATTAAGATCAGATTATAATTTGTTAATTTGAACTAATTTTGTGAAGCAGCCTGCATTTTGAGTTAAAAGATAGATGTAATTTAGATTTAATTCAGTATTCTTACAGAACTGCATTTGAGGTCAAGCTGAAATTTTTGTTTTAAATTGTAATTTTTTTCACTCTGCAGCTTTGTTTAAACTTAGAAATGCACTATAGAAGTTATCAAGGGAAACTGGAGACCTTAGTAGCTGATAATTGGGGCTTTCAGAAGAAGGAAAAATTTGGGATGCAGTTTAAAACAACATGGTAGCATTAATAAGAAATTTTTATTAAGTCAAGAATTCTGAGCTGCTGGTTCAAGTGAGCAGGTACCATGTATTCAGAGGATGGTCCCTCTGTGGATAACAAAAATTGAAATTACAGTGATAAAATTATCAACATAGCTAATTGCATATTTACATGAATCCTAAGAGTACTTGTTTGAAGGTTACTACTCTGTAGAATGACTGCTCTCTGCTAAGAGAACTTTGTGGGCTTTTGGATACAAATGTGTGCATTGTTTCTGCAGTAGAATTACTAGTGATCTAAAGAGTGGACTGGTAAGCTGTCTTGCCTTTTCTTCCCTTCTGTAGCTGTGTACGATCGAATGCGAGCAGACCAGAAAAAATTTGGTAAGGCAGCATGGGCAGCAGCAGTGGAACGTATGGAAAAGCTTCAGTATGCAGTTTCTAAGGAGACATTGCAGTTGATGCGTGCAAAAGAAATCTGTTTGGAGCAGAAGAAACATGCGCTGAAAGAGGAGGTAATTTTTCATACCAATAAATAGAAAGTAAAATGTGCAGAAAAAGCCCAAACCTTGAAGACTATTGATGTACTTAAAAAAACAAAACAATACCCAGACTTGAAAGTCAGTATTTTTCCAGTTTTAATAATGAAAGTTGATATTTAAACTTTTCCTACACTCTACCATGTTAGACAAATGGAGTTGCAACATAGGTGTGGTGTGTTTTGTGTTGCTTGTTTATGTTTTCTGTTCACTTTTTCCTGGTCAGTCAACCAGGAAGATAATTTTTGCTGTTGATGTTTACCGTTACCAACTGAGATGAATAAAATGAAGAGAAGGGGTAGTGCAGAAATCTGCTACTATGTGTTCTCCACGCTTCAGCTCTCAGAGACGTAACCACCTTCTTGGAATAGTTCTGACATTCCAGATGGAAGGTGTCTGAACGTTAGTAAATATACAGATGAGTAGCCTGTTACACTGCACTCTTTTTGTCTCTGCTTACCCTAATTATTAAGGCAGTATTCCAGCAGGAGTTGTGCTAGCTACAGCTTT